CCAAGAGTTACCCAGAAGTATTCGCAGTATGATATATATTATAATAAACTTGAACGATTGCCATGTCTCAAACGATTTAGTTCTCGTACTCACAACGCTTTGTATTCAAATGATAGCTACGCTAAGGATATTGCAGTGATCGAATACATGGAACAACTTTTTATAATCGGGGTAAAGCAATAATACTATAATACTACCGATGTCATCTTTCGCTATAGTCAATACTATCTATGATTTGTAAAGTAATGACAGGATCAACTCTGTTTGAGCTATCATATTTTTGTTGGCAAAATGCTCTTGTCTCGCTTCATTTACGACCCGACCATATGAAGGTGTAAAAGATATGTACAATCAATATTATTGTTCTTGGGTTTGACTCTTTCATCAACTTACGTCACTGCCTTAATGCCTTCCGGATAAGCATGTGTTGTAGTCCCATCGCCATGAGACTGTAAGGCAGATAATGAGTATACGGATAAGAAAACTGTAATAGTAATACTAATTTAATATTAGATTCGACTAGTACTAGTGTTACTTTGTGATCTTGTGATGTCCCATTTGAGGCGGTATTGTGTTTTTCAAAGTTCAATAGTGCCATTATCTTCAATTTTAACATTCCAATTGCATGCTGTTCTGGGAAACATTACTATGACAAATTTTATGTTGCATGCATAATGCAAAAATTATGTTCTTAAAATTGTTATACTTTAACGTTTGAGTCTTGTATTTGTATCAGTATTTTTCTCAAGAGTTTGGATGTTAATATTAATATGAGATTATAATCGCACATGAAAACACCCTACCGGTATTTACATTTTCTATTTAGTCAAATTGTACTGTTAGTTATGTCATTATGAATGCGATTGATACATTATGCTTTTTTTGACAGTTGGCTTCTTTTCGAATTAGTTTGCATCAGGTAGAAGTTTCATAAGTGAAGGTTTTAACAGAATCGAGCTTCCTTATAAATTTGTCTTTTGTTACTGAACGATTATAAAAATCAAATATGCATAAATTCTCGCTAGGCGTATAAAATATGTTCGAGTTTATTAAACATCCACCAGCACTCGTTAACAGGTGTTATAAACGTGAACTTGAAACAGACTATAACGGCCGAAATTCGATAATTGAATCCTTTAGCCCTCAGAATAGTTATAGATTATTTTAAGGTACAACGCTTAGAGAAAATCTCGGTTCTTGAGCATTTTTCTCAATTATTTGTGATTGTCGTACACAAATCTATATGAGCTAGGCGGTTCACAATGAAAGCCTCTTATGGTCTAGGAAAATAGATGAGTTATGAAATTAAACAAACGTCAGTGATGTCTATAAATATGTAAGTATATAGTTTTTAGAAACAGAACGTAATATCAAGACGATTCGAGGCGCGAATTATGACTTGTTGCACACCATTGACCCGTAGAAGTATTTATTTATTGTTTATGTAAAGTTTAATAGTTTACACTCACTCTTTGCTACAGAATCAGCATCTAGTTCAAAGCCCGCAACCTACTTATCTATTTATTACATTTCGGCCGATCGCCGTACAAGACGTTGAACTCTTTTCTTGAACGCTGGATAGTTCTCTCGCCATTCCTTCTGCATATGCAAACGTTAAACGAAAGGATGGTAAGACCGAGTGCGAAGACAAACAAATTTGTTGATTTCAAACACATGGGATTATATGTGACGTAGTAATTCAATTCCAACAGACAAACTGTTTAACTTACAGCAGCTTCAATATTTGCAGGTGATTCATCATTAGGCGAAGATAACATTGAAATTACGCTCAGCAAGATTGTTTCTACTGTATGTACGGGCATCCATCTCTCCCCTGCATCTTCGTACCCAAATCTATCTTCACCTGGTGGATGCTGAATGGAACAAAATTTTATTGCAAAAAAATGAAATCAAACGTTTTGATCGGAATCGCACGCATATATCTATTTGTAACGAATGCAGCGCTGCTCTTACCAAGATTGAAATGCACACATCTCCATTCGGATATACTATTTAATATCATATATAGAACAGTTAAGAGAAAGACTAACGAAAACGAAGAGATATTTCTGACGTATATTTACCATTAGGATGCCACATCTCTGTGACAAATCTAAGTGAAGGAGGCATTAAAGGGTAGTCCTAGAAATTGTAAAATACGACGTGCAAGTGTTTATGGCTGCACAAATATCATGAGTAGCATCGTTCGGGAGAGATAAACTACCTTTGGAAATGTCATGTTCGCCTTGAAAAAGCCACCTTCGCTGTTTATGGAAGAAAAAACCAAACGTGAAAGTGTCAACAAGATACTTCAGTCTAAACATGGATTCTCCTTGAGCATAGATCTGTCATTACGAACAAACATACTTACTATAATGTTTCTGGTGGTCCCAAAATCATGATTTCCCACTTGGATAATTGTAATAGTAATTTGATCAGAGTCATTTTCATAAATTCATTTTACATTATATTCCTGTCTGTGTAATGAAAAGAGAGATCTCATACCTTTACAATAGGCAAATAGACATCTTGATCAGTCGTCATATTGTACGTATATAATGAAATCACAGTGGATATATATTGTGAATATAAACCATTTAAACTTCTTCTCGATGGTATATATTCTACGACTATCAACTTATGCGAATACTATCATATTAAATTACTAAGCACGGCGCCATACCTCATAGACGTTCTCATCATCGACCAAACCAGCAGAGAAACCCTCTACAGGGTGTTTACTCAACTCTACAAAAAGCATACAGTCCGTCAGCAATATTTTACTTGCAATGTGTTTACTTGCTGAACGGAGATTCATAATGTTACTAGTTGATACCTTTAAGCTGTTTTCTGAGTAGTAGCGCTGACTGTAACTGTAAAGTCATCTTTTGCAGATGTGGATTTGTGTTTGTGCAAAAAAAAAAAACGAGAGAAATCTTGAATTGCAACTATGCACTTTTTGTGTGTCGACTTCTCCACATGACCAAAGAATTCTGTTGTAACCCCGCATGATCACCTATGCCCAATTGGAAAGGCCACGCCAAGATCCTGGTTTAGTTGGGCAAAACGATATGAAAATTTACTGCGCCGAACCATGTTTTTGAGTTTTACGCACCTGCATTTATTTTGTTTTGTAAATTTATGATATTTTTAATGAACGGTAAACACGTTTACTTAATTACGTCTATCTGATTTTTCCATAAAAAGAAACTTTTGTGGATAACGATAATAATAACGATAACGACGACGATAACTGATAACGATAAAGTAATGGCGATAGTAATAGAAATAGTAAGTATTTTTAAAATGCGAACCGAGAGCTCGGATATTTAAGTGGTACAAAGTTTACATCTGCTTGTTCCTTACGAAAACCAGTCTTGTAGCATTACTGGAATTGAGTTCGATTCTAACAGTAAAATATTATACGCGTTTATTTTTTAAATTACTATTACCTAAACAATCCCCTTTCTACCTAATAGAAAATTTTTTATACAAATAGCTCTGTTTTATTCACATAGGTGAAATGCTGCTATGCTGCATCTCATGTCATCTTATTGCTTCAGCGGGTAAGATTCAAAAATAATACTTTATTGTATGTGTGCAACAGAACAGTCAACTTAGTCTGACAGCAATGAACAGATTTCATTCTATTGGTAGCGTCGAGATTTTTACGCTGTTACTTTCTTTATAATGGAGACAAAATCTGACAAGTTTCTACATAATAACGAGAAAAAATTCACATACATAGTGTACTTTAATAATATATTATGTATAGCAAATATTATAATGATGATAAAAAATTAATTTAACTAATTCTAAAGTATTGAATAGTGATAGACTGGTGCTTGTTTTCAATATTATTGATAATTTAAGCTGTTTAATGTTTTTATAATTACATCAACTTACGAAATTATTTGCTGTCGATATCTTATTATGTTTACTAATCTTTTCCCTTTCTGAAAGACTAAATTAGTATTATTATCTTTTATCGCGTGTCTTGTTCTAATAACAAACCCCACATTATTGTCAAAAATAATAAAAAGTCCCACACTATTCTTGTTTAGTTCTCTTATTATTTATAACAGGAATAAAAGCCTCTTACTTAATTTGACTCAGTCAAGACAACACGCTTTTGAATGTTTCTTGACTTCTATTTAGGTTGTGAGTACGCTGTTTGTTCTTCCAACAAGAAAAATTTCCCTTGTTCTAATGTTAATCTCCATTATTATTATATCGAACGAAGCTACACAATATACAGAATTGTGAATTTATTTGTACTCATTATTATCATCAATCAATTATATTCCTCCGCTAATTAAAATTCTATAAATACATTATATAGCAATAGAGCTTCCTCACAGCAACAATAATGCGTTAACCGTAGATTGCGAGGAACTTTTATTTACAGTAAGGTGCTTGCTAAAGTCCAGTTAATGCGTTAATTGTATAATTTCGTGATTCTAGAAAATATGTACCAACTATCTACACAAGGTCTTGGTAAAATACAGTAACTAAAACACGCCATAACAAATAAGACAACCGGTCGAATAAGTGACGATAAGTACAAATAGCAATCGTGATCGTTTAAGTCTTAATTCCAATAACTTACAGATAAGTTGTACCTTTATTCGAATAGTTTAGAGTTTGCTAATGTCACATGAAACCAATCATATTTGATTCGTTCTCTATTCCCTCTAACGTAAGACAAATGATAGCATAGTTAATATTAATGCCAACGATGCTTGCAAATAGTTTCGAACCGTTCGTTCATTCTTGCTGCAACAAGACTTGAAAAGATTGCTAAAGCATATGAGAGTGCTTGAAACGCTACATTAGTTTAAAATGATCGATAGTATAATAATATTAATTAATTAAATGAACATATTTATTATTATTATTATTATTACATATTAATATACGTTTATACAGTATCTAATCGAACACGTGACTGGAGTCTTCATTTCACTTTTTTTGAACCGAAGTTTGTTTCCTTAACTGATATGGACCCTATTCTATTCACTTCACCTGGTCGCATCCGCATTCTTCTAGTACCTGTACACCCCATCAAAGCGTCTACCTTTCAGAAACATGTAGAGCTTGTTAAGAACTTCAATGTAGTCAAATTGGGTGATGTAACCCCCGACATGCGTGGCTCTCAGTGTATGGATAACGTCTCATTTATTCAATTGGCAGGCATGCTTTCAAACAAGTATGACTAACAGTGCTTTAACGATAAATAGCGATGTTTAGCCCTGCGCTATTCCATGAGGGACAATTGCTCTTTAATTTTGTAACGACTTATGATGTTGAACACACGTATCTTGAGGAATTTCAGTTGCATCGGAGAATATTTGGGGTTAGTAAGTGATATCCTTCATTTTAGTAAGAATGCTTACGACGTATCAGTAGGTAATGGTCATATTCGGTTTCATTCAATTGATAGGTAATCGGTATAATGGATTGTCAAGAATGGCCTGAATTAACAGATGGATACCGAAAATTCGCGGGAATACTCAAGAATGTAAGACCGAACAAATTCATGGGAATAAACATGTGTGATTTGAAACTAAACATATTTAATCGATCAGTATCCATCAGCGCTAGCGCATCGATGCTTTGCGTTTGATCCCTCCGAACACCAACCTGATGACACGAAAGGCTTAATCATGATACCAACTGTCGGAAATATGGGATTCTATATGAGTACAATGATTTGCGATTTTGCTAGTACAATTCTAACCGAATTCGGTAGCTTGGTAAGTAACCACTTCTTCGAAGAAGTGTTGCGAATCGTATGATGGCAGAATATAAGTGAACGAGATAGACGCGTTATTTAATCTTTGATAGACTGCTTGATTGGGCATGATCAGAAATTTTACTTTGGCACATGCAGTGTTAGATATTAAGTGTCAAGTGAATTGACATATTTAATCTAATCGAATCTTAACATTAAGGTTGAAACAATAGAATCAAAGACTTTTATTGAATCCCCCAAAGTACCTTCGTTATTTTCGTCTCCATTGTTATCTCCGAATGGCCAACTCCCTAGTCATCGATATTCCACTCCTACGATATCATTTACAGCGCCTGATTTAACGTCACCTCAAACTCCGTCCTTTCCATTGACACCTCCATCTCAAGTCCTGACTGCAAGCAGCATTGGCAGTATGACGGCTGCTGCCAATGCAAAAGATCAATTTCATGGGAGATCATTTTCCTCTTCGACACTCGCCACTCTCTCGAATCCGTCATCAATCATGCCTACCAGCATGTCTGACCTGAAGCTCAAACGAAGGACACCAGGAAGGGTTCAAAAATTGCTGGCCGATCTATATCTATTGGCTGGAAGGCTGCCCGACGCTGTTTCAAAGTAAGGATTCATTGCCCAAATTGTGTTTAAATTGATTCGTATCATTTAATTGATATCGGATGGTTACTCAAATGTTCCTGAAACAGCTATTATTCTGCAATAGAAACTACCAAGTCCAATTCAGACTATTTATGGCACGGAGCAGCATTAGAAGGCCTCTGCGTCAGTCTTGTATTATTAGCATATTTGCATGCTGATATTGGGGTGAGTGAACGTAGAATACATATGATAGTGCTCAGAGTGCATTTGTTAGATGTTAACATTTTATATAGATCTATATGCTAGCTGCAACTATCCGGATAGGACACGGGATAATTCACTATCACAATTGTTTTTATATTCATATTCGCGTAATCTCGTTTTCAGCCGCAAGTACTCCAGGCGCCACCTTCTCCGAGTGTCAGCCAGTCTTCTTCTGCGCCATCATCACCGACAAATCCCAAACCGCTTTGGGCAGATATAGCAGAAAAATATCTGAACGTAATAACTTTATATGCAAAAACTTCGAATTCGATTAATAATCAAGTGCCTTCAATAGTATATACCGAGGCATGTCTAAAAATGTCTAAAATGCTCGCTTGTATATGGTTGGCCGGTGAATGGGGAGACGAAGCACTAAAAATGATAGTTCATGGAGTAATGCCTACGGACAAAGCGGTTAGAGAAAAATGGGGTTTGAGTCAAGTTAGCGGTGTCTCTAGAGTAGAGATTGCCCAGTGGGCTATGAAAGGATACGGGATATTCGTGGAAGAAATGTCTACGACGGAGCAGGTGAATGAACTAGGAGATTATTTATTGACATTTCTACGACGCTTATCGACGAATCTAATCAAATCCTGCATTGGACTTTAATAGATTCACGTCAATACATCTCTTGCATCAATATTCTCTTCTATTAATTTCCAACGAAAGTATGCCTTCTTTCTTCGTCGTAGTGTTTTCTTAATACTACCTCTCCTATCAAGATCGCGTCTTCCTCTTGCTCAGGCAGGAAAGACATCTATAGTCGAGGATGACCGCTTGCTCGGAAATCTGAAGCAAATCGTTGACATTTATGGTGTTGGAGGTATAGCGCGTATATGCATTGCAGACTAATTTTCGGTAGTTAGTTGACGCATAACATTGACTGTAGATGATGATGAAGATCAAAAAGGTGAATTGTCTGCGACCGAGGAAGACGCTCAAAACAACTTTGGTTGGCCTGATATTCAGATAAACGTTCTTAAGGATGCTATTATGATATCGGAATCCATTCCAGGTAAATAGTCTTATTTATACGAGTTCGTTGTCAAATACATTTCTCGTCAATATGATATTCAATTACATAATTGGGCACCTTAGATTTCCATTCTATTGCAAAATACACTAGTAGGCTATTACGAAGGTTATTTCTATATCTTCCACGTGAAGAACAACATCGCCTCTCTGTATCCCTGCCGCGTATCGTTGGCTTAGCTAAGAAGCAGGACATTGATATGCAGATCAAATATTGGGGAATAAATGTTGTACGTGAAGTACGAGTATGTCGGTAAGTATTGCCAATATCCAGTACAACTTGGTATCTGATGACTCGTTCAACCCCAACCACATCTGTTTCTGTAGTCCATCACCAAAGGAAATACCGTATCCGCATTCTGGGAAGATATTAAGCCAATCTGATGTTAAAAAAGAAGGAAACGATGGACCTTTTATCTATAATCCGTTCAGCAAGAAGAATGCAGAGACAGTTCAGGTATGTGACTTGCTTGGTATAGCACAACAACAACGGCTATGGATATATTACCTAATGGGTTGTGATTTAATAGACACACCTAGTTGCCAATGAAACTGCGTATTTCATTGTCGTTCTAGCCAACGTGTATGCTGTTGACCTGGAGATACAAAGCATTAGTTTAAGGTATGGTAGATGTTGCTAATTATGCAACATGTTCAATAAACATGATAATTTACACGAAACTGCATATTTACAAGCACTGAAGGAGTGCCATTTGCGCCGAATGTGATTTCTACTACTATACCGGCCAATACTTCTGTGAATGTGAAATTATCTGGTGTTCCAACTGAAGCTGGCGAATTGATTATACGCGGGTGCAAGATAAAAATATACGGCTGTATCGAACAAGAGTTTTACGTGTACGTGCCTCCAAAGGAAGAAGAAATCAAGAAAGAGGACGAATATGGAAAACGAGTTAAAAAAAGGCATGTGCACCACACGATGTGGCTAGCGTTTGTAATGTGGTTCTTTTATTATTTGACTGACATATGTTTAAACCAAAGTGGGCTGGCCATATTATATCGTCATCGAAGAGGTTTGTTATCGTCTGTTAATGCAAAGTTTGCGATAACTGGTTTTATATTAACTGATGGCTTGTTTACTATACAGATGATTCCCGTGCGAGTACAGGAACGACATCTTCGCAGGAGAAGCAGCAGATGGAATTTCTTAGAGTGACTGTTATTCCCGATCAGCCATTGTTGAAAATTAAATCCACATCTTTGATGCACAGAGCAATTATGCTGTTTGAGGGAGAAAAGTATGTTTTGTTATTGCAGTCTTTTTGAGTATCAATACTATCAGATGATTGGATTTGCACGATATTTATTCATGTCGTATACGTTACCGGTGTATATAATTAGGACAGAGATGACCATCGCGTTGGCCAACATCGGCAAAACACCAATTGATTTCATAACATTATCTTTTCATGACTCTACCATTGCTAATGCTCAAGCAATTTTGAGTTCATCTGATATACCACCAGAAGAGGCATATGAGATGGAATTTTACGCGCATAAACAATCGGTATTCTCCTGGAATCAGTCGGATCAGCAAGTGAATTTATTACCTGGAGGAGAATGGCTGCTTACAATCAATGTATTTGGCAAAAGGGACTGGTATGTAATGAATGCAATCCTTCCGAGATTGGAAAGCTTTCTCTGCAATTCTGCTCAACTCAATGGTATATTTGTTGCTTTTCTTGCGAACCAGTACGAGTGGCACGATACAAATAGATTATGGATATCTTAACCAGGAACAATCGCCTAATAACGATACATTTTATACGCGTCAAGTGTTTTATCCTGTATTGTTAACTGTCAATCGAAATCTAGAACCATTGGCCATGGACTTATCCAACTTTAAACCTTTGCCTGATGTATCTAGCAATGATAGTGTACAGCCTATCGAGCATATGAGGCAAATTGAAGAATTACTTAGAGCAGTTGATGCTTCGGGCCAAACATTAGATAAATCTCGGCTGGAAAGCGAATATTGTTTATTGACTTTTGATATTAGGAACGTATGGCATGTGCCCTTTGATGTTACTTTTACAGTTGATGAAGGTAAGTGAACGTGTAATAGACGCGTTGAACAAAGCTTTGTAAATGTTAATAATGGCTTAATTACTTTGATCTAAGGAGCATCGGGCAGAGTAGTCACGAATTCAACGACAATTCAACCGTTATCTACTTCTCGGTAAGACTTGCAATGCGTAAATATTTTACAAACACTCCACGTCTATGTATTGACAATTTGTTTCGCTATTATGCTATTAGGATCGTTCTTCCTATCCAACGCATTTCTTTGACTGAAGGTGAGGTAACAAAACCCATACCATCGATACTAGATAAGCAATTTGTAGTATCGAAAGCACCCAAGGGCACAGCGGAACAAGAGAGATTGCAACTTGCCTTATTTTGGTATAGGGAGACTTTGCTAAAAAGGTTGACCACTTCCTGGGATTGCGTATCCTTTGTTCTCCATACTGTTGTTGTTCGACAAGTTTCTTTGTTTTTGATAAGCATCCTGAACAAGCGAACATTTCGATAAACAGCCAACAAACGGAAGGAAGGGCATCATCGATGTTCGCTCGCTTCGTCTGAACAAGTCGATGCTAAATATTTTAAAAGTTAACGAGATCGAATTTGGAATCGAATTTCAACAAAGCGATCTTGTGCGGAAAGTGTCTGCAAATCGATTCAGGTGTGCAGTTAACGAGTTTTTGCATATTAACTTTCTTATATTCAATCGGCGAGGCAAGTATATTATAAGAACTATCATAATATTTATTACATGGTACGACATGGGGACATGGAGAGCCACAACTAACTCGTCATAACCACCACCACCATGACAGATAAAGGAGCCAAACTATGTCTACGAACTCAGCCAGTGCAGACATACGGCGATGGGATTATGGAATATGACCTATCCGGAAGGATAGTTTGGAACGGGTTGCTTCAATCGATCCTCCCAAAGGTAGCCCTAGCAATGTTTGTTATTTATCACCGCCATTACGATGTCATCCTTACTAACATCTTTGTCTAGATCGAAGCCAATTCATCAATAACTTATACGTTGCCAGTCTGTTTTTTATCACGGGGTGACTTTCAATTCCTTTACCATTGCGAGGATGTTGAAACTCGCTCTGTATACTTCGATTCTCAGCCATTAGTGGTTGAAGTTGTTGATCGCCTGTCATAATACGAATATTTTATTTTGTAATTAAATTGATAGAAGCGCCTTTAATGTCCGCGATTGTCGTATTAGAGTGTTTTTTTAAGAGCTGTGATAGAACGATTTAGTTTCAACATAAACTGCGAAAACATTAGAGCTAACGCACAATACTTACAGTAGTATTATTTTCAAGCCTTATTGTTTTCACCATACTGCCTTTTTAACACCAGGCAATAACCCGCTCAAAGCCTTAAGCCTAAATTGGAACCTACACAACCTATGCTCTCTAAAAACGCCTCTCGCTCTCCCCGTTTCTGAACATCTATTTCTTATTGAGGTAGGACGGGAGTGGATATCGAAAGAATTCAAATTCAGTTGTGCTTGCCGACGAAGCCGCGGAGATAGAGTTTCATTACGAATGATATAACGGTATGCTTGCCGAACAAGTTCGCTCTCTGCGACTTTCTCTCTGATTTTGATATCACGGCGCACGGCAGCTTTTCGAAGTACGCCAAAGTGAGGTTTCAAACTCATTTTGAAACAAGTTGGGAAAAACGTTGGGGATGGGTTGTGTAAAGAGTTGAGTTTACTACACGTGACTTTAGAAGGGAAAGTTATTTTAGCAACTATGTGATTACAACAAAAAAAAATTTTTTTTATAATGTCAACTACGTTTATCGAATGAATCCGTTTATCTTCCTTCGCTTTCTCTCTCTCGATAATTTTATAAAGGTAAAAACATCATTTTATTAGATTTTGTCAAATTGTGATATTAAGCCAATTTTAAGCTACACTCACCGGACAAAAGTATCGACTCAGCTCGCCGATCAATTAGTAAAACATATGAAAAATCTTTTTTTTTTCAAAGAACTATTACTATATTATACGTATTTACCATGTAAGTCACAACGACTTTTGAGAAAAGTTGTGATATATTTAATCCCGTTATCGTTCCGAAGCTACAGCTTGTGAAAGTGGCGTATCTACTGTGTAACGTAGATACTACCACTTCAACGAACTGCAGTAACAGGATTAAATATGTCACTATTTTCCCCGAAAATTACAACCAATTGTCTTTATGTCGGTACAAAAATTGCCGTAATTTGCATAGTAAACACGTATAATATAGTTTTTTTAAAAAAAAAAGTTTTCATACTTTTGTCCGGTGAGTGTATGTTATTATCTTCGTGTCCAAAAACGATTCTCTATCGCATGTCCTGCTTATTGGTCGTCAAGAGATTACGCCAAAGCATCGATAACGAATACTAGGCAACTTTCTTACATAACAATAACAATAATACGATCGATAATAATTTCAATGATTCTACTAATAAATAACGAATATAATATTTTATTACAAGAGATGAAGCCCCAGGGAATAGTTCCGCTTCCAGTTTTACTTTCAACTTAACTTTTTCCGCCCGAGGAAGAGTTGTTTATATAATGAATTTCGACTATTTATGATCAAGTTGGTGTTCGAAATCTAATTTGACCAATTAAATAATTCCGTTGTAAACGGCGAAGTCAATCATTACTAAATATTGCTCGAATTGATTGTCTACTGTTAATATATTATAATATAATTCACTATCGCTATAACAGAATTCTTAAATATTATTACACCAAAAAACATATTGTTAACCAAAAGACAGTCATAGGACCTGACGGCCAGAACTTTGAGGACATTTGTGCGATAATTATTCCCAACCCGGTTGGAGGAACGTGGTTAATCCCGACATTAGAGATATTAATATCGCTGTTGCTGTAAGAACGAGGAGGCAAACTGGGGTATGCACAGAAATTGGACTTTCATGTTTTCCTCGCGCATCATGTGAACACGCTGCTGCATTGCCTTCATCTTTGCTCTACGATTCTGAAACCATATCTGAATTGAGCGCTCAGACATGTTTACTTTTTGTGCTAGGGCTCCGCGGACTTTGCTATTTGGTGAGGTATTTGTCTTGAAGGTCTCTTAGAATAGCGAGTTGTTCAGGAGTAGCAAGAGTGCGCTTCCTGCTGTTTGTTGGAAGAGTTGCTCGGTTATGTCTTCGTCCATGCTAGTAACCTAAATGGGCTCACTTTGTTGGTCTTTCTGATGAGGTATAGTCAGTCATGATTGATGCAGTCGTCGTGTAGGAATTAATAAATGGATTTTTATACTATCTTTTGAACCCAAGTCAAGCTCGACCAGTTTTTGGCTATTGAGGGTTAGGGAATGTTTCAAGCGAGTGTAAAATAGAGAGAGTTGGTGGGAGGAATTGGGTGGAAGGAAGGAGAGGTCTATGAGTATATAAAATAAACTACCCCAAGATCTTCAGAAATTGGTTACAGTAACGTGACCGCATGTTGGTGTTGTTCACATGATTAAATATTACACCCCATTCCGAAAAGGCCCCCATTTCGTTTTAATCCGATTTTATTTTAATCTGCCACAATAATTAATATGGAGTGCACTCACCATATATGCCGTTATGCTTGTTTGCAAATTGTCCAACTCTGTCTATATTTGTAGACGTGTCAACTCGAACGACTTCCAAAAATACCAGTTTCCATATTATCACTACCAACGAGATTTGTTCTCGTGGTTTGTCGAATTTTATGCTTAATATTCGTTACTTCTAGTGCCATATTCTTTACAGCATTTACAAATGCAAGTGGTGGATAGTTTTTCTCAATCCAATCTCTTGATTCCGATGCTTAGCCAAGCGGCAAACATACTATAACTTCTCCATTGACGTGTTTATAGGAAACCGATCTTCCAATATCGTATAATTAACCGATTGTTGTGGTATGCTACGAGGTTTAGTTTGGATTTTGTAGATAG